AAAAAAATACCAGAACATACCGGCGCAGTAGTGGTCGGAAGATATCGTTCATAGCCGCCTGAAACGTCGAGGGAGCATTGCACAAGCCGAAGGGCATAACCAAGTACTCATAATGGCCATTATGAGTCCTGAAAGCGGTCTTGTGCGCATCCTCCTCCTGCATCCGTATCTGGTGGTACCCGGCTCTCAGGTCGAGCTTAGTGAAGTAAGCTGAGCCATGGAGCTCGTCGAGCATCCCATCCTTTTTCTCGACCAGAAGTACCGGCGAAGAAAAGGGACTAGTGCTAGGGCGGATTAGCCCTGTCTCGAGCATCTCCTCCACCTGTCGCTCGATCTCTTCCTTCTGCGAGTGCCCATACCGATATGGCCGGACATTCACAGCCTCCACGCCTTCCTTGAGCTGGATCCGGAGATCAATCTACCTGTGGGGTGGCAAGGTGGTAGGTGTCTGGAAGAGCACCGGAAATGCATCCAGTACCCGCTGCAGATCACGGGCCACCTCCTTCGCGTCGGTTGCCACCGTGGGCCAGCAAAGGACTGCCAGCTCAGCCTCGCCCTCCGTCGTGCACTCGTGGATCGAAATGGACCCCAGAGCCGTCGTGAGCCCTCTCAGACTCCACTCCTTATCTCTCCACTTGAACCGCATAGTCAGATGTCTCCAATCAGTAGTCACCGGTCCCAATTCCTGCAACCATGGAACACCCAAAATCAAGTCAAACCCGCGGATGGGTAGGACATACATATCTGTAGTGACGGGCAGCCCTTGAATCTCGAAGGGAAACTGCCGATACACCGCCTGTCCTTCACATGGCGGCGTCGCCAGCTCCATCTCGCCCGGATCGCCGCTCGCCACCTCGGGGCAGCCTCCCTCGCCCGCCGATGCTTTCTGGGCACCGCAGAGGGCGTCAATTCACTGCAGCAGTCGTGTCCAGGAAGGATCAGAGAGCCTTGAGGAGCTCATGTTGGCTCTGATACCAATTGATAGAGAAGAGTAGGATTTGGGGTTGAGAAGAAGAATTAGGGATTGGGATTAGAATTGGGGAAGAACAGAGAAAAGAGAGATTTAGGGATTTTGGTGTTTATTGCTTAACCGTAAATGAATGTGCAGAACCCAATTTATCAGTTTCAGAAACTAACACAGAATAACAAAACCCAACCCGGCCCAGTCGGCCAACCCAACCCGACCCCCCTACCCGCGCGGGTCTCTATCAAAACTCCTCCTTCCTCCCCATACCACAATCTCCAAACTTTCTTTCCACAATCATCTCAACCCTCTTCTGGAAGCATGACAAGCTAGGTAAAGGGAAGCTAGATAACAAGGAAAGGTGATCAACAAGAGGTATGATTAGCCCGAATTTAATTGGCCCGGTCCGGTTAAATTTATCCGAATTGATTCAGTCACAGTTCTGTCTTTTCGGGAATATAAGGATCAAAGATTGGATTGGATGCAGTCTGGTCTTGATCCGGTCCGGTCCCAATTCGGTCTTGATTTTAGATTGAGCTTGTGGGAATTTGAGTGGCCTGAGGACTCAAAGCACAAAGAAGCTGAATGGATTTTCTGTGATCTACTAACGATCAACACATGTCAACATTATCGGATAAATAGTTCGTGCCATATTTGTCATATTTTGAATAGTCTAGGACACAAATGACACTTTTAGAATAGTTTGGGCTTCCTAGTGGAATTAGCCCTTATTATTAATATATACTAGTATAAGCCCGCTCCCTATCGCTTCACGTTGAGCGAGAATATGATATTTTAAATATTGATAGTTTGAATTTTGACCCAAATAAGGAGTTTGTCATCTACAACTCAATGTAGTCGGTGCAGCGATAAACTTTAATAAGCGAGAAGGTTCATGGCGCAAATGGTTTCTATGTTTAATCTTCTCTCTAGTTTGTATTCTTTTTGCTTTTTTTTTTTTTAAGTTCAGCTTGATTCCCCTTTTTATGGATTTTTTTGGATTAATCGCAGGTTTGAGAAGGTTCAACTCACTTTGGCATATTGGATTAGGTTGAATACCCATGATTTGGGTTCAATTTCATTCTCAACAAAAAAGGAGAAATTAACAGACACTAAAGCAGATAAAAATCGCTCACGACCCAAAATTCGACAACATCATGTTCAACTCTCTTTGATCAGCTTGAACCGAGTTTGTAACAAATTCTCAACGGACTCGACCCGCCAAATACAAAAACAAATAAAACTCAGTCCTGCCTGAAAACTTGTAAACAACGGGTTCAAGTCATTTTGATTAGCTTCGATACCCATAGGTTTGGGTTATCACCCAAAAGGAAAAGGATAGATCGATAAAAAAGCACTAAAGCAGATAAACTCGCTCCCTACCAAACACTCTTCACAACAAGTTGAACTAGCATTGACTGGTTCGAACCGAGATTTTAACAATTCACACTCGGCTCAACATGTCAATTCTAAAATCTGTTAAAACTCGCTCTCTATACAAAACCCGCCAGCACCAAGTCTGGGTTCAATTGTCATTGTCAACCACAACGAAAAGGAGAAATAAAAAAAGTAAAGCAGATAAAACTCGCTCTGGATAATAAAACTCATCAACACCATGTTCAGCTCGCTTTGACCAGGTCGAATCGAGTTTTTAACAAATTCACACTCGATCCAACTTACCAACTACAAAAGCATATAAAACTTGATCTCAATACAAATCTCGTCTATACCATGGGTTTGGGTGCAATTATCATTCTCAAAGAAAGGAAAAAAATAGAACTTTAAAAATACTATTGAAATGTGTTTGGTAAACTATTGTCATGCATATGTGAAAATTTGTGTTCTTCAAGAAAATATGAAGCATGTTCGACATTGTTTCCGAGAGCGCTCATAACCCAAAACGACCTGTAACCCGACCCGAAACTGAATGGGTTGGGTCAATATTTGACCTGAAATCAACCAACTCCACATGACCCAATCCGTAACTGGAGGTCTCAACCCGAAATTACCTAACCCGACCCGATTGCCAGGTCTAGGTTCAAAGTCTCTTTGACCTGGACGAATTATGTTAGATACCCATGAGTTTGAGTTCCATTTCATGCTTAACCAAAAGGAATAAGAGAGATAAGAAAATAGCTCAGTCTTGATAAAAAATTCGGCAACACAATGCAGATTTAGTATGGATTCTCGATAGCGGTCTTTGAACACGGTGGATGGGTACAACCTAGGATTCCACCGAAAGTGTTTGGAGAAGGGTTGTGCATTATTGGGAGAATGTGGGGATTGTGTATAATAGATAAGGTATGGATCTTTGGTGGCATTCATGAAAAACGAAGGAAGAGGACAACTTCTGATTTCGTCGATAGTGTTTCGAGATGGATAATTATTGCGATAGGGAAAACAATGAATAATAGATGAAAACTTAGTAGACAATTAATAACTATTATGGGAAACCTAATGGGCAACAGAGGTAGACCCAAAGTTCAATGGATGAACACATAGGTTATAGAATAAGAGAGTGAGTTAAAAGGACTTGAAACTTCCCCACTTGCACTTGAAGGAGTTTGAGAGCCACTAATGAATAGCAACTCCATTCCACCGAAAGTGTTTGGAGAAGGGTTGTGCATTATTGGGAGAATGTGGGGATTGTCTATAATAGATAAGGTATAGATCTTCGATGTCATTCATAACAAACGATGGAAGAGGACAACTTCTGATTTCACCGATAGTGTTTCAAGATGGATAATTGTTGCGATAGGGAAAACAATGAACAATAGATGAAAACTTAGTAGACACTTAATAACTATTATGGGAAACCTAATGGGCAACAGATGTAGACCCAAAGCTCAATGGATGAACACATAGGTAATAGATTAAGAGAGTGGGGGAAAAGAAGGACTTGAAACTTCCCCACTTGCACTTGAAGGAGTTTGAGAGCCACTAATGGATAGTAACTCCAATGTTATACTTTTATATATTAATTAATAAACCAAAATGCCAGGTGATAAGCCCTAAACCACGAGTCTAGGTGACCGATGCTCGAAATTCTCTCAACTTCTCAAGCTTGCTGTTGAGAAAGCCAGATTTGTACGAAGGTAACAAGGTAACAGGGAATTGGATGGAGTTGGGTTGTGCAACTTCAACACCGACGTTCGGGGAAGAGGCTCCTCCCAATTGGAAAGGCAACCCGACCACGATTGAGGTGATGACTCAATCGATACAAGGCTCGCTCGTCGTGGGAAAACACTCCGCACAACAAGGACAACTTCTTTGAGCAAAACACTCAATGAACTACGTTCTCGATTATTGACGTTTCACTATTACAATGGAGTTCTAGGCCTTTAAATAGACAAACTTATACCTAAATCAACTACAAAACGAACAAGGAAAGACAATTAAACTATACTACAACTAAGTTAACAATTCCCAAACTGAAAAAGACTTCCAACTCGTCTATAATCCTCTTTCTTCTAGCTTAAGTAAACTGCCTCCAAAACAGGGTCCATAGCATCTTTAAGCCCCTCGTTCACATCCCTCCATGCCTCCATCTTCTTATCCAATTCCTTTCCTCTGTAGACAAAAATACTTAATTTCATGTAGTGCAAAGAACTTCCCTTGAATCGACTCCATCTGCTCGGAATAAAGCTCCAAAGTGACCTGCCTGAACCTGCCTCCAGACTTAGCCAAATTCTGTCTGAAGCAATAAGCAATTCAAGCTCATATCAGGCTCTCCCTCTTCAAAAAGCTTTGCCCACAAAGCTGGCTCTTTATTCTTCTCGCAATCTGCACAAAACCGAGTCCAAATCGGGTCGAAAGATGGCATCCCAAACTCCATTTTCTGCAATTCGAAAACAGTGTTCTTGAACAAGGAGATTGGGGCTTTTTGATCTACGGACTCCCTTTCCAATTCGTGGCTTCCAAGAGGGTTCCCATACTCCCAATCGACTTTCTGGACATCTCTCGTGCCTCGATGCATCGCCAAGAGTGGCGACTCAGCTCCAAGTTCCTTCGCGCCAACGTTGGCGTTTAAAAACAAGGAACCCAGAACTTTTGATTCCGAATTGGACGTTTTGATGCTAGCCACCTTTGGATCCAATTGATCGACTTCACAGCATCCCGGAGAATGATAGTAACGATTCCATAATGCCCTTTGGCTTCAATTCGTACCCAGACGATCCACCCCATTCACTCGATTTGCTGCCTGCCGCAAGTGCTGTCAAAGGCTTATAAACCCGAAGTGGGTCTTGCACCGGGGGCTTGTTCGGGTCGATTCCACCTTTTGAGGAGGATTCTGGGTCCTCGTGGAAGACGATGACGGCGTTAGGCTCGCGCGTCGTTCGCCCAGCTACTTCGCCCCATTGCTTCTCTCTCCTGCTCTGTTTTGGTGTCGGAGAGCAGAGCTGCCAGCGCTCGGCTTGCTGAGGAGGACTCATTTTGCTCAAAGCTGTGAGCATAAACCTCCGAGCCATTAACCCAGCATCATCTCCCCTTTGCTTACCCCGATTCGCCTTCATTTGTTGCTGATCGGCGTGGACTTCGGCCGGTGATAGCGGCTTAAGCAAGAACTTGCGATTTTCCAGCCTGAATCGGTAATAATTGGTCCTTCCGTCGTGGACTGCTCCTCGGTCATACTGCCATGGTCTCCCTAGCAGCAGGTGAGTAGCTTGCATCGGAGCTACGTCACATCACAGCGTGTCCTCATAGTGGCCGATTTTGAAACGTACTTTGGCCTGTTTGTTCACTTTGAGGGTGGCATATTCATTTAGCCAATAAAGGCTATAAGGTTGAGGGTGCTTGATCGTGCCTAAACCGAGCCTTTTAACATCATCTAAGCTCACAACATTAGTATAGCCTACCGTCAACCGCACAACGAGTGTGGAACAAGTTGTCTCGTTGTTCTTCATCAGCGCGAGACTCCAGAGTAAGGGCTCGCCGATTTACCCAAGTAGCTTGCTTGCAGGAGGAGTTTCAGCTTCTATTGACTCGTCACTTTCAGAATCGGACTCACTCTTTTCTTCCCTATCCTCCTCTACTTCATCTTCGGAAACGACTTCCACATCCCGAAGCACCAAGGCCTTCTTGTTTGGACACTGGTTGGCCTTGTGGCCTCTACCGAAACACTTAAAACACTGGATGTTACTCGTCGATCCTCCCGGCTTCTCGTGAGACACTAGAGTAGTAGTGCGGGGTGCGAATTTGGTTCCCTCCAACCTGGTCTGTTCAGGATGAATTGCAGGGGTATGTTCCGGGACAGACTTAGAGGGCCTTCTTCCCGCGCTTGCTCATTGTTGTCCTTCCACCTTAATCGCAAGGTGAACAATGTAACATCTCGTTCCGGCAAAACCCATATTTCGATCGCTAGAAAGTTCGTGATTTAAAATCAAGCGTTTTGATAGTATTTGGGCGAAAATCGGATTATCGATCGATCGGATAAGTATACATATTTATTATATATATGGGGAGTTCTACGGTACCCAGGGTGAAATCCGGGGTACCGCATACCTTGAGTAAGAAAACGCTTTCCAGAACTTGAATTGACTGATGTTTCGGACATGATACTATACTCTAACCCTTAAAGATCAAAATCTAGGTCTTAATTCTCTAAATGTTCAACCCCAAGATCAATTTAATTAGAAACAATAATTGACGGTTATGATTTGTCCAAATATAGAGGGGGGAAATCAATGCACCATCTTAGGGTTTAGAGTTTACGATTTAGATAATTAGGACCTAGGGTTCACTCATTAAGGGTTAGGGTACAGTATCATGCCCAAAAATCCCTCTAATTCGAGATCTAGATAGCATTTACATACTCAAGGTATGCGGTACCCAAGATTTCACCCGGGGTACCATAGAAGGCACTATATATATATATATGTAAGCGGTCACTCATTATAATACTCATCCATTTCTTCTTCTTCTTTAATTTCGGTTGAGAGAAACGGAGAAGCAGAGCCGCGTGCAGATTCTTGAGCTACACTGATCTAAAAATCCCGTAAGTAATGCCTAATTCATCTATACATCGTAATTTATCGATTTAGAGCTTTAATACGAGTTTTTGGTTCAGTAATTTCTTGAATTGCCGATAAGCCAAATTAGGGTTTCGGAGTATCCGGAAGCCGGATTGAGCCCAAATTTCATATACGAGCTTCCTGCAGCGAGGTAATCAATCCTCTAGTTCTAATTCTTGAATTTTGGCTATTATTTAGATCGGAGCCGGAATCGCTGAATTTAGCTCCGGCCAGGGTTTGATGTGTTTTTATCAAGAATTTGACCCGGAGCCTAGAACTAATATTGACGGGGATACTGCAGGGGATATTAGGACGGTCTCGGATTTTAATTCAGGGTTCGTTCGTGAAATTGACGTTTTAGTACGGGAAGGTTAAACCGGTGTTTGAACGACCAGAACTGGTGAGGGATTAGCACGGCATACCGGGTTTGTCGTATCACGATAATTACATTGATGCTTAGAATTGATCTAGGTGAACTAGAATGTCATGATTAGGTGTGTATGAGCTTTTGTGCTATATGTTGAACCCTGGATTGCTGTATGATATTATTGACTTGCCCTAATCGATATGAACCTTGTTTATACTGATGATTGTGTATATGTTGCAAATTGTGGGCTTGACTGTTAATATGCTTTACGATGGTTCGAGAAGGTGATTAGGTATGATTTTTCATGATTGTTGTATTTGGATGCACAAGTGGGAAAATATATATTCCCTGGTGATATTATGATGTTTAAGGAGGATGACTTGCACGAGGGTTTATCCCGAGGAAATGCAATTATACGACTCCTGATTCACCTATGTCGAGCCAATTATGGCCAGGTCAAGTACATGTGCAAGTAATGAATTATGATTAAGCAAGATGAGATATGAATCATGTATAAGGATACCAAATATGAGTGTTGTGGTCTCACGGTCAACTACATAGTAATTAGGGCTCCCTATGCTATTACTCTATTATGATATGTATGATAGTCACACCTCTCATGTGGTGGTGACTGAAGAATTCTTACGAGATATGACCACACCCAGAGTGGTGTCGGGGTATGACTACAACCATAGTGGTGTGGGGTATGTATGACCACATCCGACGGGATGTTGGGGTATGTATGACTACATCCGACGGGATGTGGGGTATGTTTCCCGGGAGAGTTATTAGCATGGGAGTAGCCAGGCGCCTACGATTAAAACATGATAAGATGCATATGCATAAGTCAAGGTGGTTGAGTCTTTTGCCTATTGGGATGTCGGATGGCTGAGGTCCGATCCTAGTTTTTTGGCTTGATTGCTAGATGTATGGTAGGGGTATGCTTTGTTATGAACTCACAATGCAATGATTGTCTCACTCAGCCATGAGCTGACCCTCTTTATCCTTTTTCTCTGCTTATGCCATGTGTAAGCAGATCATCAGCATCAGCAGCAGTAGATAGGTGTATAAGTGGAAGCTGAGCAAGAGTTGAAGGAAAGATGAGGTACGGTCTTCAACTATTCTGTGCTTGGACTACTACTCGGGATTTTGGCCAGTGATCCAGACCTTTTTGTAAAAGAATGTTTTGAGAATTTTTTTCATTGCATACTAGCTTCTGATGTAGTGTTAGATATCCACAAGTGTGGAAAGTTAATGATATGTGTATATTTATGTGGTTGTGTACGTTATGACGATTATGGCTTGTATCAGTATGGTATGCAGTTGTGTAGTATGAAACTGTGACTATGGCTATGAAAAGCCAATGCATATGGTTGTGATTATATATGTTTGTGATGAATTATTTTGCAGGATAAGTTGCCAGAACTGTTAGCCCATTACGCGAGTAATTCATGTCGAAATTTTATTTGGGTAAATTTTGATAAGTAATGTAACACCCAAGTTTAATTCCGCTGCAATTGTATGAACAATATGATTAGGCAAAACGTATAGGGTAGGGTGTTACAATTTGGTATCAGAGCCCGGTTCCCTCTTTTTGCTGTTATGGCGTACTATACCCTATGGGAGGTTAAACACTCCTAAGGAGGGGAGTACCCCATAATGACTTAAACTGGGAATTGAGTTTCACATGATTATGTGTATTGGTATGTTGGATGAAATTATCTGCATCATGGTTTTTAATATTGAGTTTTGAACTTATTGTTTTTAAGTAATTATTTTGGGAAAATTTTTTTTTAACCAAGTGAGAGATTTGGTAAAGAGTGAATTTTGTGAAAATGTTCCTTGTAGCTCGCACGGAAGTTGTGAAAATGTTCCTATTGACCAGTCGAGAGAAGTAGGGGCGGTTGATGCAAGACTGCCAGTATTAGACTATGCAAAGATGAAGAGTTTGGGTGGTAGGGACTTCAAGGGAGATGTGAGCCTAGATGTTGTAGTAGAGTGGTTGAGAGAGATGGAAGATGTGTTTGAGTATCTTTACGCGACCCCAGAGGAAAAAGTACAATATGTTGTTTTTCTCCTAAAGGGGTACACGAGGAGCTGGTGGTCCTCTGTCTCCAGAGTTAATGGTGAACGAGTTCAGTTCACCTGGGAGGATTTTCTGAAGGCCTTTAAGACAGAGTTTCTTCCCGAAGCTTTTATCAGGGCAAAAAATAATGAATTCGCCAACCTTAAGCAGGAGAATATGACAGTTACTGAGTACACCATCAAGTTTGTTCGACTACTCTATTTTGAGGATGGGTTAGCGGATACTGAGCATAAGAAGAAGATGAGATACTTGCATGGTCTGCTCATAGGATTGAAAGAAAAGATCCACAGGTTTGATGAAGAGAGCATGGCCACAATCAAGGAGGCAACACTTAAGTATAAAGCTTATGAAGTTGAGAGCCGAGAGGAACACAAGGCCAAACAAGAGGAGAAGAAGAGGAAGTTTGGAGTAAATTATGCTGGACCTCGTTACCCACCCAGGAGAGGTCCTAGAGGTTTTGGGAGAACACCAAGTCAATCTATGTCGGGAACATCATACAGGGCACCAATTTCCTCAGCCACACAATTTCCATTTTGTCAAGTTTGTCAGAAGAGGCATCTTGGAGAGTGTAGGAGATTTTCTGGTGTATGCTTTCACTGTGGCCAACCTGGGCACATCATGAGGGACTGTCCGCATTCGGGAGAAGTAAGAGCTACACAGTCCGAGCCTTCAGTGCAATTTAGTAGAGCCCCATTCAGGGGTGGTTACCAGGGAGGCTGTAGTGGATTTCAGAGTGGTCGTGGTGGTTCACAGGGTGGTAGAGGTGGTGGTCGAAATCAGCCATCAGGAAGTGGTACGTAGGGTACGAGAGCACAGGGAGCACCGAGGGTTTATGCAATGACTCGAGGTGAGGCAGAAGTGGCACCAGAAGTTGTGACTGGTATGCTTTCTATCCTTGGCAAGCAATTATATGCTTTGATAGATACTGGTTCCTCTCACTCATTCATGTCATATACGTTTGCACATATGCTACGCTTATTTCCAGATAAGCTAGGTTATACCTTATGTGTTAAAACACTTGTGGGAAATACCATGAAGGTAGACTCAGTTGTTAGAGTTCCTTCATTTGTGTGGAAGGAGCTTTCCTAGCAGCAGATTTAATTCTGCTACCTTTTGATGAATTTGATGTCATCCTTGGAATGGACTTTCTGGCAACACATGGAGCTGTTGTGGATTGTCAAAAGAAATAAGTGTTATTCAACACACCAGATAAATGTCCTGTTGTATTCCGAGGCATTAAGAAAAAGGAGACTCATGGTTTTCTTTCTGCCTTGGAAGCTTTTCGATTAG